GTGGGTGGCTTTTGTGAGCCACTGCCAATGTCAGACAGACAGACAGACGGATCCCATTGACAGGTAAGCAGTGGCAAGCCGTGCGTTCTGCTTTCCCAGCCCTTTCCCAGCCCGACTTTCCCCGACTTTTCCCGGCCACTCGAACACGCGCCCGAGAAAATCCAAGAACTGAGAACTGAGAACTGAGAACTGAGAATCGAGTGTAAGCCGCGGCTTATGCAATGCGGCCAACGAGGCTTGACAGTTTTGGTTTGCTTATCTGCGTTTTGGCCCAAAGGCTCCCCTGCCTTGCGATTCTCGTACTTTGCCATGCAAGGCGGCCATTAGTGACGTTGACTCAGCCGAAAATATGGCCCGTTCAATAGGCCTCCCTATTGATTCGTCGGAGGAATATTCAAATATAAAGTTGCCAAGTAGATTCATTTCCTTGGGGACTCTCTGCTTCGGTTTCGTGGCAGGAACTTTTTATCTGCAGAACTTCATTGCTTGTTTCTGCTTTATTGTTGTTTTATTGATTTAATTTGCTTGGCCCTAGGCTTGAAAAGTATGGAATATTCAAGCAGCCATTTGGAAATGCCAGTTAAAAAGTTTTCTCGTTTGTTTCAACTGACACTTAGTATACATTTCTGAATACGAAGTTTGAAAGTGGGAAGATTGACCAATTTAGGCACCTACATATAATTGTGGTGAACGTATTTCACTGAAAGTATATTTATTTACATTGTTATATTTGTTTTCTGGGGTCATTGTTTCGGTGTGGTAGATAGGACTTTTAAACTTTCGGTATGAATTTATGATTTTGTTTTGGCCCCCAGCGGAGGGGAATTGAATATACAAACTGCAATTGGGAAATACTGTTTGAAAAGATTTGAACGTTTCTATCCCAGACTCAAATGATATCTTTGACAGCTGGTTTTCTTGGCTTTATTTAAGCCTTTTTAAATTGTAGAGAATACGGCTGAAAAAGACAGCTGCAATTGGAGTTTGCTTTTCTTTCCATTTTGCATATAGATTTTTTTATTTTGTTGGACAATAGAGGCGTTTAATGCTTTCCGTTTAATTTTTCCTGCTAACCACGTTAGATTTGAATGCCAGCCAAATAACCGGCGCTTGGTCCACAGCTCATTACACAATTTATATTGAAGCCGTAACTTAACCTTCAGCCCCAGGGAAACATTAGCTGGAAGTTGGAGCGGGGCCAAGAGTATTTGCCATTTTGCACTCTGGATTGCAAAAGTTCTCGGCCGGCATTCCGCCATAATCGTATAAATACGTATACAGTTCTTGCGCTTCCACTCCCTACATACATATAAAAAAACACAAGAAAGGAAGTTAACTTCGGCAATCCGAAGTTTTTACACGCTTGTAGCAAAGTTTTTTTCAACTAGCTTTAACTAGCTTTAGACTAGTTTAAGTCGAAATAGACATGGCTAGATCGACTCGCCTGGAGATGAAATTCAAGAATATAACTACTTTTGAAGGTCATTCACTGCTTTGCAAAATCGGCAAAAAATTTATAAAAAGTCTAGAAGTTCAATTTTGGGTCACCATTTTGCAAGTTATCGGAAACTTGGAAATAACTAACATGAAAATGGGTCACAAATTCGATTTTCGTTAAATTGAAAATTTTGAATGCAAATATTCAGAGAATCTATTGACGAGTCATAAGAGGTATGTCACTTCCAAATCGGATTAAATTTGGAAAAGTTATGGACTATAGAAGTCCAATTTCGGGTCACCATTTAACAAGTCATCGGAAACTTGGAAATAACTAACATGAAAATGGGTCAAAAATTCGATTAACGTTAAATTGAAAATTTTAAATGCAAATATTTAGAGAATCTATTTACGAGTCATAAGAGGTATGTCACATTCAAATCGGATTAAATTTGGAAAAGTTATGGACTATAGAATTCCAATTTTAGGTCATTATTTTACAAGTCATCGGAAACTTGGAAATAACTAACATGAAAATGGGTCAAAAATTCGATTAACGTTAAATTGAAAATTTTGAATGCAAATATTTAGAGAATCTATTGACGAGTCATAAGAGGTATGTCACTTCCAAATCGGATTAAATTTGGAAAAGTTATGGACTATAGAAGTCCAATTTTAGGTCATTATTTTACAAGTCATCGGAAACTTGGAAATAACTAACATGAAAATGGGTCAAAAATTCGATTAACGTTAAATTGAAAATTTTGAATGCAGATATTTAGAGAATCAATTGACGAGTCATAACAGGTATGTCACTTTCAAATCGGAATAAATTTGGAAAAGTTATGGACTATAGAAGTCCAATTTTAGGTCATTATTTTACAAGTCATCGGAAACTTGGAAATAACTAACATGAAAATGGGTCAAAAATTCGATTAACGTTAAATTGAAAATTTTGAATGCAAATATTTAGAGAATCTATTGACGAGTCATAAGAGGTATGTCACTTCCAAATCGGATTAAATTTGGAAAAGTTATGGACTATAGAATCCAATTTTAGGTCATTATTTTACAAGTCATCGGAAACTTAGAAATAACTAATGAAAATGGGTCAAAAATTCGATTTTCGTTAAATTAAAAAATTGAATGCAAATATTTAGAGAATCTATTGACGAGTTATAAGAGGTATGTCACATTCAAATCGGATTAAATTTGGAAAAGTTATGGACTATAGAAGTCCAATTTCGGGTCACCATTTAACAAGTCATCGGAAACTTGGAAATAACTAACATGAAAATGGGTCAAAAATTCGATTAACGTTAAATTGAAAATTTTGAATGCAGATATTTAGAGAATCAATTGACGAGTCATAAGAGGTATGTTACTTTCAAATCGGATTGATTTTGGTGAGATGGACTCGCTTGGTGACGCCAATCAAGAACATATGTATTTTATATGGTCGAAAATGTGCCCTTTACAGCGTTGTAAGCTTTCGACTGAGATGTTCATACCCTGAACAGCAAGAGTATATAAACAAGGACAACAAAGGCTGTTTGTTCGGGGGAAAAAAGCGGAAGGGGCTGGAAGCCATTGCAGTGGGTGAAATGCAATTTCCAGGCCATAAAATGGCAAGGCAGGAAAAGCAGAAAAGCCTTTCACTCGGCCTTAACGAAAGCGTTTGCAGGTAATGACCATCATCGCAGCCGGTTAATGCGGGCAACTTGTTCCGGAGGCAGATAACACGAGTTCCTAAAGTTCTCGCGAACAATACGGAAAGTTTCGCTGCAAATTAAATGAAAAGTTAATATTGGCAGCGTGTTCGATAAACAATAGGGACACAGTCAACAAGTTGGTCCTAATGCGATTATTGCACAGTGCCTAATGTCCTTGCGAAATGGCAAGCCATTTAACTTAATGAGGTTTGTTCAACAATATCAGATATTCAGGGTGCTACACAAATCCTTAGAAGTATGAAAGTCTTAGAGAAAGTTTTTATTGTCGGGGTTGCCACAGATGCGATCTTTAGGTTTAGGAACTTCTAAAAGTGTATGAAATATGTAACTTTGTCTTCTTAATTCTAAATCTATTTCCCCAAGTTACTTTATATCATACTATATACCCGTTTTTAATTGATTTTAGATCACTGTCAAGTCCCTTTCCTTTGGTAAAAGAACAACGTGTTTAAGAACTCTAGTATTCAAATTAGTGGCGATTTCTTGGGGTGCCAAGAACAGTGTGCACTGCGAAACTCACTTAGTGGCAACAGCTGCTGCAAATTTATGCTCACGGCTCTTCTATTCTGAGCGTTGTTTTAGCCACAGAAGAGCGACCGCAGCAAACTGTCAACGATTCCCACCGCATATATATACGTATGTATCCGGATGCCGGTAAAACGAGCAACCGAGCTGGCTAAGTCCAAGCCAAACAGGCACTGTTCAAAGTCCACTTCAGTGCAGCTGGAGCTTAGCTTTGTTAATTCCACATAGAATCATTGTTTGAAATTAATTTGTTAGCTCTAAAATTAATTTGCTTGCTTTCTCTTGGCTTAAAGATTTATGGGTGCACAGAGGCCAAACATTTAGGGGAAGTATAATACATTAAAGCATTATCTATATTGATTTAATATTTAAAATAATCTGGTGCCTTTTGCAAAATCAGAAAGAAAGAAGAATATTAATTTCAATGCCGAACAGTTTGAAATTATTAAAGTACATCAAAGGCGGAAATAAACAAATACTTATTTTTAATCCTTTTCTTAGTGATAAGTACAGAATACAAGCTATTGCTTTTAAGTAATTTGAATACGTGACTTCATTTAAGCTATCTAGCTTTATTTAAATCGTAATAGATCATAAATCATATTTTCTGTTGAAGTAGAATTCTTTGGGAAAGTATTAACTACAACCAAATTAAACTTTCTAGGTTAGACATACTGAATGAGAGTTAAAAAATATAAAAAATCTTACCGGTTTGTGTGGTTTTTCCCACCAGGAGAAGGGTTTTCCCTGGGTTCGCTTTAGTAGGACCCCCTCTCGCACTTATTTTTTTAAGTGTTCCTTTCAACCGCAGCTTTCCTTCCGCCCGACATCTTCTGCTGCCACGCCTTAAGCCCGGGGCTTTCCTTTCTTATTTTTAGCGCCACCCACGCGGTGGGAAACTGCAGACGTGGGTTGTACAGCAATTTTGTTTACATTTCTTGTTTTTCTTCTTTCCGCTGGTGTATTTAACTCACAGTGACTTGTGACAGGGGGGGCGGTGTCAAGCGGGGGAGGGCGCGGAGGGGGTCGCTCGGGGTTGCGTGGAGGTGACGTCCTGTCTCATTTCAGCGGCGGGGATTCCCCGCACAAGAGTGCAATGTCGACGCTTCCTCCGCTGCAGTGGGATTCCCGCGGCGGCCATTTCTCACCCACCACACACACATCGGCGAATGTTGCCAGGGGCGGTCCTGTTTTATGCTATTAATTTGACAGTTTCAGCTGCGCTGACAACTGGCTTTTCCCCTGACACCGAGCATAGCATTTAATGGCGGCAAATTAATTGTTCTACCCCTTGCTCCTCCCCAGACACTTGCCCAGCATCCGGTTACTCTACGGTTACGAGGACAAATAAGCCCGAAAGAAAACTCAGAAATGGATTCAGCCGCCGCCGCCGCCGCCAAACGCGTTCAAATCGAGAAGGCCCACAACTTCATGCGCCAATACCGCGATCCCGAGTCCAGGGAGCTCAAGAAGCTTTCGGCCAACCAGTTCATGGATGTCTGGGCGCACTACGACAAGGATGGTGAGCAAGGATATGAATTAAAATTTGCCTATAATATAACACTTTGAGGAATAAGATAGTTAAATTCCATATCTAAATTCAAGTTGAACAAGTGCAGTAAAGTATTTAAAGAATGTTAGAAACTGATGATCAAAAAAAGTATGTTTCCCAACATTTCCTATTTACGACTATAAAATACAAAAGGTACAATATTTCATGATCTGTTCTCTTCCAAATTCTGTTGTGTTAAAGAACGGTCCACTAAACTTCTAAGCTTATAACTTAAAATTGAGTTAATTTTAAATTGATTTTTACAATTTTGAAATTTTAATAAACTTCCAATTTTTTCATCCACTCTTTAATAGCAGATAAAGTAAAGATTGGATCTAGATAAACTATCTGGAAAGCACTAAACCATTTTTATATTTTAATTTTACATGTTACACTTAATTAATAATACAATTAATAGTAAAATTAAATTAAGCTTCTATATTTACCCTCCTTATTTCTTACCTTAGGAAATGGCTACATTGAGGGCACCGAGCTGGACGGCTTTCTCCGGGAGTTCGTGTCGAGTGCCAATGCCACCGACATCAGTCCAGAGGTGAGCTTCCAAGGGAACCGACCACCTGCATCCTAATCTTTCTGCTCCAACCCCCAGGCCGTCACGGACACCATGCTCGAGGAGCTGAAGTCCTGCTTCATGGAGGCCTACGACGACAATCAGGATGGCAAAATCGATATCAGAGAGGTGGGTATTACGTACGGCATTGTGTGGCCGCCGGGACTTTCGTTTTGTGGCCCAAAACTGACCGCACAGTCGGACACAAATTTCGATTTGATGTGGCCCCCATGTCGTATGCGCAATGTTGTCTCTATGGCTTTTGTACTCGAAATATCATTTCCTCGAGTCGTGATGGCGCCTCTTCTGCCTTTTTCAAATTGGTTTTTAAATGTCTCGGCCCACCAAAATCATATAAATTATTGGCCGTTTTCCCACTCCGCCGAAGAAAAACAAACTTTCTGGCAAGGTCTCTGCCGAAAAAAAAGTTTTTCTTCGCTCTCTCTTATTTTGTGGGGGCCACATTAAATGAGTTTTTAATTGAAGTTGGACCGGCAGCGCGGACTATTGAAAGGAGATTTTTCTGTACAGTTTGAATGGTGGGAATAATAAAGCACAGTTGGGGGCGGGCCAGCACAATGGACTTTTGATAAATGAGCCCCCGAAAAAAGCAGAAAGTTTCGGGGAAGAAAAGTGAAAAGTTCAAGTAGCAGGACCCCCGTGGATTGCTGATTAAGGTGGCCCGCAGCACAAAGACGCAGCGCATTCACAATTCATGTGGTCCACATTATTCATACGCCCCGTCGAACATCGATCGAGAGGACTCTGGGTTCAATTTCGCTGTTTACTGGCTTGTCAACAAGGGTTTGGCCTGGGGATAAACTTTAATTGCCATAGTGCAGTAATTACCAGCGGCGAATAAAAATGCAAATTCCACTACCACAGAGCGAATTATAAAGTTTTCCCGGCCACAGATGATTACAAGTGAAGGGTGAGCGCTTCAATTCGACACTTAAATTATGCCGGAAAGTTTTAACGAATGCCTGAGGCGAAACTTTTCCGGCTGTTCGCTAATGAAAGTGCAGCGGGATTTTCTCGCCTTTCACGCCATGCACCGGAAAAATAATAGGGCAAGGAAACCCTGTACACTCATATTTACAACTTATTTCATTGTCAAGTCACGCATTGAAATAAAAGGTATTTCTTCTTGCAGCTGGCTCAACTTTTGCCCATGGAGGAAAACTTCCTTTTGCTCTTCCGCTTCGATAATCCCCTGGAATCCAGCGTTGAATTCATGAAGGTGGGTGACAATCAGGAATTTCATACCCTGAAATTCCTCAATTAATTCGCAATCCCTTCTCGTTTCACTTCAATTAGATCTGGCGTGAATACGACACCGACAACTCGGGTTACATTGAAGCGGATGAGCTGAAGAATTTCTTGCGCGACTTGCTCAAAGAGGCCAAAAAGATCAATGATGTGTCCGAGGACAATTTTTTAAAAAAAAAAAAAAAAAAATAAAAAGAAAAAAAATAATAAAAAAATAAGTTTTTTTTTTTTTTTTTTTTTTTTTTTTTTTTTATACTTTATTCTTATTTATTGGATCTTCTCTATTACTTAAGAGACTAACAATAAGTTTTCAAATCTTAATCTATGTTACGTTAACTTATGTTATTGAAAAAGGGATGGGAAATCATTCCGCTGTAGACGGGAATGATAGCTTAGCCGGTTGAGTTGTCTGGCAAGCAGGTTTGGGTGATTTGATAATCTGGCTTCATATTTAATTTTTCTGGAAACAATTTCTTCTTTTACGGGATTTATATCCAGGTCTCTCTGGATGTTTGCATTGCGGATGTACCAGGGGGCTCCAGTTATTGTTCGTAGGGTCTTTGATTGTACTCTTTGAATAATTTCTATATTGCTGCTGCTTGCGTTTCCCCAGAGCTCGGAACCGTAGGTCCAGATCGGCTTTAAGCACGAGTTATACAGTAGTACTTTATATTCGAGTGGAAGGGGGGAGCGGTAGTTCATGAGCCAGTGAAGGCTGCTGGCCTTTAGTTTTAAATGGGTCTTCTTTGCTTCTATATGCTTTCTCCAGGTAAGCCTCCTGTCTAGGTGTATGCCGAGATAGGTGACTTCGTCTGCTTGTGGAACCGGCTTGTTGTTTAGCGTCAGTGGTGGGCATATCGACAAGTTTAGTGTAAATGTAATGTGCTTACACTTTTGCTCATTGACTTTGATACGCCAGTCTGCGAGCCATTTTTCTACAGCTACCAGGTGTTCTTTTAAATGGGCTGTAGCTGTTTTTGGGCATTTCGAGCGGCTGACAATGGCAGTGTCGTCAGCAAAGGTTGAGATGAGGGTCTGGCGGCTTGTTGGAATGTCTGCCGTGTAAAGGATGTACAAGATTGGTCCAAGCACACTTCCTTGGGGTACTCCAGCTTCGATGTTACGGATGGTTGAAGTAAAGGTTTTACATCTCACGGTGAAAACTCTGTTTCTGAGGTATGACTCAAGCAACTTGTGAGTGTTTTCCGGTAGGAGGGTTTTGATTTTGTATACCAGACCGTCGATCCAGACGCGATCAAATGCCTGTGATACGTCCAGAAATAAGGCACTGCAATATTGCTTGTGTTCGAAAGCCGTGCGAATTTCAGATGTTAAGCGGTTTACCTGTTCGATAGTTCCATGCTTTTCCCTAAATCCGAATTGGTGCAGAGGGATCGTTCTGTTGTTTTGAAGATGTGTTACTAGATGAACAAGAAGCAGTTTTTCAAATAGCTTTGATAGACATGGGAGCAGACTGATGGGCCGGTACGAGGAAGGCTGGGATTTGTCTTTTCCTGGCTTCGGGATCATTGTAATGACAGACTTTTTCCATTGGTCAGGAAAGTAGCCCCATTTCAATATTGAGTTAAATATAAATGCGATGCATCTGACTGCGCATGCAGGTAATTCAATTATCATTTTTGGAGAAATAAAATCGTGACCAGGAGCCTTTTTTGGGTTTATGTGTTCTTTAATAGCTTTAAGTATTGTGCTGGTTTCAAGGGTAACTGGGGAGGACGGCGACGCTAGCGAGACATTCGGTAGAGTGAATTGGTTGGATGGCGGGTGGGGCTTGAAGACGTTTTCCAAGTGATGGGCAAAGGTGTTAGCCCTTTCTTCGTCACTGCGCGCCCAGGCACCTGTTTGTGATCGAATTGGCCAATCGGGATCTATTGGTGGCTGCATGTTTGGGTGCGCTCTCCATAGTGGGAATTTATTACCCGTCGGGGATAGTTTCGCAATGTAGGCCCGTTGGGCCTGGTTCTTTTCGGTAGAGAGGGCCTTCGACAATTTTCGAGATGCTTCATTAAGTCTTTTCTTAGTAGCTGGGGACCGATGAGTCTGCCAGTCTCTGCGAAGTCTACGTTTTTCAAGTAGGAGAGACTCGATCTGGATACTTGAGCGTCCAGTTCTTAGCGGGTTTGTGGATGAGGGTTCTGGCGTAGAATGTTTGGCGGCAGAGGACATTACGTCCGTGAGGTGTTTAAGCGACTTGTCAATGTCAGATTCAGAGGAAATTTCAGGATCAAGTTCGATGTGTGCACTTACATATTTTTTGTACTTCAGCCAGTTTGTTTTGTTTGATGTTAGATGTTGGGGGCGTTCCAGAAGCTGCGGCTTCAGATAGACAGAGGAGAACTGGCGAATGGTCCGATGTAAGCTCTTCTAAGGTTTTTATGTTTATCAGCCTGTGCGAGACTCTTCTAATAACAGCGAAATCGATAATGTCAGGTTGTTTATTTGGATCTGTGGGCCAGTATGTAGGCCTAGCTGGTGAAACAAAGTCAAGCGCATTACCAGGAGTGATAATAGCGTTGTATAATTGGCGGCCTTTGGGGTTGATAAGACGAGATCCCCAGTGGGGATGCTTTGCGTTATAATCACCGGCAGCTATAAAGCAGCGTCCTAGTGAGTTGTAGAAATTCATAAACTCATTTTCTGCAATACTGAAACGTGGAGGGCAATATATGGCGGATAGGGTAAGTGGGCCGCCAATTAGGTTTATACGTAGGGATGTGGCCTGCAGGTAGTTAGTAGCGAATGTCTCCAAGGGATGATGTTTTATGCGTTGATTTATGAGTATACCGGTACCTCCGTGTGCTTTACCGTCCGGGTGGTTGGTCGCGTGGAATATATATCCGATGATATGGAAGTAGTTTTTATTAGTTAGATGGGTTTCAGAAAGTAGCATGATATCGATATTGTGGCTGTTTAGGAACTGTAGGAGTTCGTTTTTGTGCCGGGAAACGCCGTTTGCGTTCCAGAAGCATATTCTTAAGGAGTCCATTTATACAGACTTTTGTTTGATCAGCAGTTCCATTAGAAGGCTCTGGTTTCGCAGTAGTTCTTGAAGGGAACTTTGAATCGTCATCATGACGTTTGCAAGAGTAGCTAGTGTAGATTCTAGACCGCTAAGTGTTTGTGGGGGAAGAGTTTGGTTTTGCTGCGTAGAAGGTTGACTTGTTGTTTGGCCATTTTGGCTTAAGAGCGGGAAATCATTTAGGTTTGATATGGGTGGCTGTGGACGCAATGCTGCAGGTTGGGCGGTAGATGTTTGTGAGATTCCAGGGTAGCGGAGTGCGTTGGCAAAGGAGACACCAGGAGTGGTTGTTGATGGGGTGAAGATGTTTGGTTGAGCAGAGTGTTGAGCCGCGAGTGGGTTACTGCGTCTCTGATTTAGGCGGCTCTTGAGTTCTTTGTAGACGGGACAGCCCCGGTAGTTGGCAGTATGATTTCCCCACAATTACTGCATTTCCTCAGAGTAGGGTCTTCTTTGTTTCCCAGGCATGCTTCAATGCAATGCAAGTCTCCACAGGCGACACAAACTGGACGCAGGGTGCAGTAGGTTCTTGTATGCCCGAACTCCTGGCAGTTTGTACACTGTACGGGGCCGTTCCGCTTATGCGGTTCCTCTACGGTGATTCTTCGGTGAAGGAGATATTGCAGATTGTAAATAGGATGCACTGCATTTTTCTTTAGAGGTTTCGTCTCTGGGGCCAACTCAATCTTAAACAGTGGTTGGGGAATTTTATCCCTGTTCACTATGTTTACGATGTGCTTAACGTCGAAGCCATTTTCAGTGAGGCCTTCAGCTATTTCTGCTACCGCAACAGTCGATTCTATACCTTTAAGTACAACTTGTAGGCCTTTCTTACTTTTTAGTTGGTAAGTGTAGTAATTTATAAGCTCATTGTCAAGATATCTTGTTACAGAACGGAAGTTGTCTTCGTTGTTAACCTGGAGTTTTGTTTCTAATATGTTTCCTCTTTTTAGGGTATTGATATAGAAGTGGTTAGGCCCGATTACTTGTTTAAGCTTATTAATCAGATCGACACTGTTGTGTTTCCTAATATATATTGGCGGTGGCTTTACAGCTTTCATGACTTGAGGCGCCTGACCCTTGTCTTCTTCGGTCTCGCCAAGTATGGCAAATCTGTTTTCGGATGTTCGTGTGTTGCCTAAAGTTTTTGGTACTTTTGGCCAATTTGAGTTTGCGTTTTTTTGTGGACTAAGCTTTCTTTTTATTTGTACATACCGATCGATCCCCGTCTGTACGAGAGTGTTATTCGTAAGAGGGTCAGTAGAGCAAAGTTTTACTTGTGGTGTTGAGATAGGCCACTGGGTAGCCGCAGACGTTAAAGTTGTTGTTGTCGTTGACGTTGCTGTAGTAAGAGAGGGTACAGTGCTGGTGGGCGCACAAGCCGAAGTAGTCGGTGCATCGATGAGAGAGAGAGGTGACGGGCATTGTGAACTCCACGACTGAGTAACGGCAGCGCTGCTTGAGCATAAAATCGCTGGTGACAGTGAGCGGGCTCTTTCGGTAGCGGTCAGTGACGTTAATTTTGTTGTTGCCTCCGATGAGTCAATTGAAATGTAAGCATTGTTCCGTGCAGAAGACAGCCGTCGTTCGTCTAGTTGTATTTGTTGCCGATCGCGACTTGGCTTCGTGGCTTTACCGGTTGCACTTGCTAATATTTTATTTGCGTTCGACATTTTTAATTGATTTGATTAGCTAGATCGGTTTTAAATTTAGTTTTAATCACAAGGAGATGTTGACCTTGGGATATGGCATTGCTGCCAGCGTCTTTTCGCTATTTTTCTTAGTTTTGGTGGTCACTTTGTAGATTTTTGGAAGTCTTTCAGCAGGGCGAGCAAAAAGACACGTCTACGCGGTTCGGTGGTTCTGTTGCTGAATCGTTAGGTATAGTTAGGTAGGATTAGGATTAGTTAGGTAGTTTGAAGAATGAATACAGTACTAAGAATACAGAATTAATCCTTTTCTCTATTGAGGAAAATTCAATTATCGTTAAACTAAATACAACAAAAAAATAATTATTAAAGTTCTTAGAATACAAACAATTAAATAGTTTCGGAAAACTAAACTATATTTCAAGAAAAACAATTTAATTTGAGAATACCTACCGAAAAGGGGAAGTGCAATTGCTTGAATTTCTTGGAATTAATCGCTTTAATCGCTTTACTTCATGAATACTTGTAGTTCTAGGAAGACAAAATCTTAAACTGCATGTTAAAATAAAATAATGGAAGCAATAAACCTACTACATGTTCAAAACTATTTTGTGGTTGTAAAAACACACAAGTCTAATACCAAAACAAAGCCAGAAGATTCCTTTGTAATAAGTTCAAGTGCAACACAGCTGCGATTATTGACAGATGCACTAATATATGCAATTGACACACAATTGTGTGAATAATTCAGTTCCTCTATTAGCCGACTTTAATGTATGCCCAACTACTTGTGCTTTCAGCTCCAAGTATTCGATGCCAACAAGGACGGACGACTGCAGCTGTCGGAAATGGCCAAGTAAGTGTCCTTGAAGTCGCGTTTCCAAATGCCAGGCAGCAGCCTGCAAGCTAACTTATTTATTGCAGATTGCTTCCGGTTAAAGAGAACTTCCTTTGCCGCCAGGTGTTTAAGGTAAGTGACAGCAGCGATATGGCAATGACTTCCAGCCAAGCCAGAAAACATCGTTCATTCGAGGAAATTGCCAAGAGCAGATTCTATCAAGATATCGCGGTTTTCAGATCATAACTTAAGCATTTACTTACAAAACCGAAACAGACACGTCTAGCACATAGGTTAGCCTGATTTTTGGTTTGTCACTAGCTGCAGCCTTGACTATCTAACTAACTTAGCTTTGCAACTAACTCAATCAGCAATGCATTTTTCTTTTGATTTACATTTTGTCAACTTATTATTTCGAGTAATGTCTGTGCCGACTGGGAAATTGTGAGATCAAAAGCTATGGCTAGGTTCCTTAAAGTCTATTTTGGTTTTTTGCTGAGAAATAAACAAGTAAAAGCTAAGGAAATTGCATACAAAAAATAGAGGTTGGGAAACATGCAACTACATAAAAAATTCGTTTTAAGACTTGAGTCAGTGAACAGCAATCAATTTACAGGAAATTTCAATGCCTAGCTTAAATGCATTCAATTCAAAATCAACCTTCTATTCAAAACATTAAAAAGAAATGGATCAATTGAGAAATTACAAGAATAAAATGTTTTTTATTTGATAATTCTTTTTGCACAGATCTCTGAAATGCCTTCGTTTTGCTCAGAATTTCGAACCACTAAACCCTTTCAGAGCTTTTCATGCATATACACAATTTGAAAAAGACAAAGCCACTATTTATTTTTCCTGCTGCTTTCCAACGAATTCGACACTGAGTGCAACATTGAAAAGTTGTGGCCATAATAAAAAAATAGTCACGACCCCACTTTTTCCTTAAGCCAATTCTGGCAACGTTGGCGAATAAAGCCGTGGCAGTTAGGACAAAAAATGGGGAGAAATATTGTCTGCAGTCGTAAAAATAAAAAAATAAACGAAGCAAATGGCAAAGCTCATCCAAAACGGGCAGGTGCTTTCACCCACTTTCTACTTTCTGCTTTTCGGGGAAATAAAATACGTGGGAGCTGGCGGAATCAATTTCCGAAAGCAGACGCCTCCTGATTCCCCAGTTTGCTCGAGCGTCAACAGATTTGATGTGATTTGAATTGGGTTGTAAAAAAGGAGAAGCAAAACAGCCACCGCTGCATAAACAGAAGGTGGAAAGTCCCCAAATGGCCGGCCATTAAATACTTTAATATTAGTTTGCCTCAGACAGAACCGGAGCAATTAGCACATGGAAAGCCATGTGGTGCTGGGAAAACAAACTTTTTGGCCACAGCCAGCAGATGTTTGGGCTTAAAATTCCCGGGCAGATTCTGCGAACCCATTTTGACTGGCCCAAATGCTGATGATGCCAAATGCGGTTGAATGAGGCACTGTCATTGCTTTGAGGCTTCCTCTGAATGTCACGTAACTTGCCACAGGCCAAGAATTGGCCAAAAGTATATGTGTATCTCGAGCATGTGTTCCGCTCTCGCATTTTAAGTATGTTGCCAAGGAATCGGGACATTCAAACAACAAGAACACTTTTTGTTTGCTTGCAGCAGCAGCTTTTATAAAAATTTCTCGGAAAAATGCTGAATATTTATGCAGGCCAAAATAAAGAGTTCTACATTTATATTAAGTCTGGAGGAAATGGTATTTAACTAAGTATATATTTGGGATGATTGAAATACACTAAAACTTTCTAACCGCAAAAAACTTTTTCATTGGTAACATTAGGTTCTAGTTAAGACAGCTCCACTGTACATAAAATATAGTACTTAATAGGGGCAGGCGGAAATAAATGTTGAAGCTTCAGCCTTGGTAACTCCCAATTTGCTGAGCCAGCCCTTCCAAATTTTCCGATTCGCGTTCCCCACGCCGCAGGCGAACTCTTTTTCCTCGTGTTCGACCTCCGTGTTTGGATTTCCTTTTTGCTGTTTGCCGGCTGCCACATGAACCACATCCCCGATCCCCAATCCCCAATCCCCACGTACAATCCGTGGAACAGCAAAGGAAACCACCTCCACTCGGTGGTCGGTGCTGTTCTTGGCAATCAAGTGGGCTAGATCCACAGAAAAATGGTCTCTAAGAGGGGGAATCGGGGGCATTGAGAGCTCTTATTGTTATTTGCTGCAAATGTACGTGCCTCAGTCGCATTGACGCTCATTGCTCATTGCTCATTGGCAGCAGTTGCCGAAAAGTTGGATGGGTTGACTATCGGGGGACTTCTGGCCAAATTTCGGGTGTGGCGCCTCCCACAGTGGTATCGAAATCAAAAGTGTTGTATTCACTTTGTATTGGTTTGGATTGCAATTGGATTCCCGTTGCACTAAATCACTTTGTTGGCTGCCTGTTCGCAAACTAAACGAAAAATCGGGGGATGCCAACGAAACTAGCGTTTTCAATGCGCCACCGAAAAGAACACCCACAGTTGTCTAATTCTACTATTTCAAACGTAATTAAAGTGGATTTAACAAAGTTTAGCTGGAGAGTTTATTCCAGTGAAACCAAATCAGTGGAAACCAAAAAAAAGATGGTAAAGCTGAAAGCCATTTTTGGTTTTTGAGTAAAAAGGGAATAACATTTTTGGGTTTTATTGAAGAAGTACAATACTTAATAAGAAATATGAAAATAAATATGTGTAATTATCTTTTTTCTCTGACAATTACAATGGAATATTTAAATTTGTATTTTTTTTAGCGAATTGTGCCTCGTTTGAGAATGATAATAAAACAATACCAACTTGTAGGAATAGGAGAATAACTAATAGACGAGTTTCTCTATGTATATAGAGTCTGTCTCTTCAAATGTTTTTCCTCCCAAAATAAACACATTGAAGTCGACTTGATGTCAGCTTACATCCTTCACGTTTTACAATTCAAAATGGGAGCTGGTGTAAATTCAAATGCATCTCGCATCTCTCGTTGAACGAGAGGATACTTCTGTGGCACCCTATGTGGGTAGGATCCCCTTCGGGTTCAGGAACATGGGCAATGTGGCGATGTGCACTCAGTGGATGGACAGTCCAAGCGAAAAGCCGAAGAAGCCGCAGGATTGCACAACGAACAGTGCTCCATGTTCATGGCTACATGGCTGCATGGCTACATTGCAACATGGCTCGCATGCCGCATATTTGCTCATTGTTACAGCTCGCAGCACAAACGACATTTTATTTGGTTTTTATTGAGGCCGGCAGTCGGGAGTCGGGAGTAGGAAGTCGGCGGGAGTCATGCATAACAATGTAGCGGGACAAGTTGGATTTTAATCGAAAAGCCACGGTGCGGACAAGGTTGCTGTCTCTCAGTTCCAAGCCACTGAATCCTGAGGAGCTCCTGACCACCTCCGATATGCGTGATCTGGGTGCTTTGGCCATCGTAAGTCGCCCGTTATGAAGTGCCATAAAAAGCAGCCATAAAATAGGCATTTCCAGCACATTTACCAAGGTGCAGTTATTACTTTTATATAATTTCTTAGGGACCGCGGGCCGTAAAAGCCAAGCATGCATCAGCATTTTGGACCGAACTTCGGAAAGCTGCAGGACCATCAGCAACTTCTGTCTCCCGACGTCCAATTATGTGGCACAGTGTATTGCTGGCTGGCGGCCAAAAGTGCCAGAAAGCGTTATGCTAATGCACATCACGTATTCGCCGCATGCACCGCAACGAGCAGTGACATAATGTGCTGCAACAGGAGCAGCAATAGGTGTGGACGGGAAAAAAGGGGGTAGGGAGGGGGGTGGACGGACAAGGGACAAGAAACAGCAGGACATTGGGCCAAAACAACCTGCCACACTTAGCTTTTTGTCGGCAGTCGCCTTGTTGTTAATGCTTTGCGGGTTTTGCGGGGCAGAAAAATAAATAAATAAGGGGAATCGGCTAAGTGAAAACGTGACCTCGCGGCACAGACAATTTTTCAGTTTTTATTCCTTGAAGTTCCTTTGAATCTAGCAATTATTTCGAACTTAGAGCAATCAACTAGCAAAGCAGAAATCGTTTGCTCCCTAATTGGTAATGCGTTTGTTTACGTTCAACTGTGCGGATACTTGATATTTCTCACTTTTAGTTTTGCTGCATCCAGATCTTAGATCTCTTAGCTTACTAAAACAAACTCTTAAACTTTAGCTTAAAAACATATATTAAAAGGTTAAACAATCAGAGCTGGCAATCATATGCCCGCTCTGATTATCCTAAAATAAACACTTTAATTTTAGTTACGACTTTTCTAACTTTCTATTTATATCTTTTTCGTTTCCCCCCGCCAACCTCCTCTCTGCCATCTGTATCTATATGAACATAACAATATACTATATATCTTTGCATATACTTCTATAATCTTGTGCATTTTTATTTCTAAACCAACAACATAATAATAACCAAACTACAAATAACGATTACCGAATAAATTATACCGTGCACGTGGTGTATAACATTTTGGGCTGCCACCTCCAACTTCCGAATTATCTCACAAATGCAATTTGAAAATCAACTCTGAAATAACTAAACAATTACCGCAAATCAAAACTTTCCGCCATCTGCTGTATATACAAAAATTTGCATACAACAATCTGCAACCAATTGCACTGCCAACAATGAAAACAAACAAAAATATTTCGTAAAACAATACACAAACTATTTACATTCCTGCAAACAAAACCGAAACAAATGTAATGAAATAAATAACAAAAAAACTTATATATATAAAAACCACACACTAAAGGAGGGCATTGATGTAAGTATCTTTCACCCCATCATCAATCATTGAAACAATAAAAAAAATTGACTCTAAAGAAATTAACTCATGTGGGTATAAAAACGATTATAGACACTGGTGGCCCATTAAAACTCCCAATAAAACTGTATAATTTGGTACTTTGGGTTAAACTAGCTTAAACATTCGTTTTTTGTTTCACACTTGATGAGAACTCAAGGATTTCAATTAATTGAGTTGGTATGTTTTTGGAGCTAGCTGTTTTTTCATCCTGTCCGGCAAACAAAAAAAGTAGATACACAAAAACCACTGAAATGCTTTGAATTGAAATTACAAAAAATGCATGAATAAAGCATGAACATTTTTAGTTTGAGTGGCTTATTTATTGGGATGGTTTTGAGTATTATTCATTGTTCTGCAGAGTGTATTATTGAGTGTATCAATAAAAAGTTTGATAATATATAAATATAAGTTATATACTTAATAAATAATAAAACAGTTTTTCATAAGGATTAAATAGTACCCTAGAAAGGAATGATAATGTTTTAATTCCAGCAACTTTATGTTAAAAATTTGATAAAAAATTATATTAGTTTCCTTTTTAAAAGACTTTAATTAATAAAATTTTCTGTGGCATAATCTAAAACTATTGCTTATACTTTGACAATTTGTTCGTGTCCAAACCCTCAGTAATTAATAAAGGCTTACTTCTTACAAGCGATAAGAAACTAAACTTTGTGTCAGTAAAAGTTTGAGTAATTTGCAATTTACCCATTTTTAGGGTCCTTTTAGAAATGCGACCCCAACCACAGGGCACTTTCTCCAAGAGAATGATAGCTACGAGCTACTAATTAGACTTTTGATGGCTCGGTCCACACCATTTCCCATTTCCCACTTAACACATCCTGAGCCGCAGTACGTGAACAGCTTTGGCCTTAACGATGTGAGGTCCACGCAAATTACACGTTGATGTGGAATTCGGGATCCTGCTTCTGCTCCTGCTCCTGCCCTCCACCTCCTCCTCCTCCTCCTGCATGGAAACCTTTTGCATAATTCAGTCATTGAGTTCGGGGCTGGGTGCGCGGAATGGACATATTTTGTGGCACTGCCATATGGATAATGGCAGCCGCAGGCTGACACGCTCTTGCCACCGGCTTTTCAAAGTGTTGAAGTGTAAAATAATTACTTCATTTCATCAATGTGTGGGCGTGGCCACATCACATTCACGTATGAGCAATTTGACAAAGAGCAAAGCCACAAAGATAAAGACCGAAAATATATATCTTCGAGTTCGTGTAAAATTCAATTTAAGGAGCTTTCCCACCGCAATTTATATTGCCGGGCTAAGCACATTTTTTAAAGCTCCAGCGGAAAAAGGGTTTCCACTTAATGGGTTTCTAATCCCGTTAAGAACGCTAAAAGAATGCGCCAACTGCGTTTTCATGGCGCCAGTAAAACAAATGTTATCAGACTTTTCCAAGGATAAAGAAAACAAGACCTTAAGTTCCAACTCGCAGCTTTCGCTCCCACCTTAAGTACACTGCGGAAAAAGTGATGTATGTTGATGAAAAGAGTGAATGCAGTACTTTAACAAAATTAATTCATTAATTGTACTTTTAACTTTTACAACATACATTGTGCATTAATTTAAAAACCATTATTAATGCAAAGAGAAATCATTTAAAAAACTTGGACAAAATACTATGAAATTATATTTTAAAAAATAAATTAAATTAAACAAATTAATAAATTTAAACCTTAAAATACGAACCTTTTAAAAAAGGACTTGCTATTAACCTTGAATGAACATCCTTCTTGCTAAATAAACTATAAACATTCCTCAGTGCAGTGCTGAAAACTTTGAACTTGAGGCGCCACCTTGGCCACATTGCATAACCCCCAAAATTACAAGCTGCATGTCTGTGTGGGAGTGAACGTGAAAGGGGGTTTACATATGGGGGAAAATAATTCGAGCAATTTGCCGGGCGCAAATGGAATCGATAAATTTCGTGTTTCCCCCGTGGAAAACACATCCGGGGCAATCCCAAATGAGAGTGGCGAAGGCTGAAGACAAATCTGCTGTACCTGGGCCACAATTCATATTAATTAGCGAATGTCAACGACAGAAAACGTATAAATAATTGGCAGTATGTTTCGTTTAACATAATTAGGCTTTAGCCATAAGTATAACGAATGAGTGTGAATATGGAATACCCTGTTGTTCCCTCGCATGATAATTATTCCCCTCCCTTGAGATATTTCGCCATTAAGTCTCTAAAAGCATGTTTTTATTATATTTGCGAATATACAGCATGAGTTTATGCCTTTGGCGCTTTGTATATAACCAATCAATTCCGAAATCGCACCAAATGACACGCCACGACCTGTAGTTTAGATATAGGGGATACCCATTGCCATAGCAGAATATATATTCCAGAACCGACATTTAAAAAGTTGCAGTATAATCTAATCAGACTCTGAAAAGTATACTAGATTTTGCTGTAAACTACATTTGATACAATTTCATTGTGGATTTGGCATACTTTAAGTATATACAATTTTTAATAATATTTTACACGAAACTTAAGCTTTATTTATAACATCTTTTTTCATTTCCCCTATAAATTATTAAATCTCCTTGAATTTATTTTTTAATACTTGTATTAATACTTGTATTTTAGTACTTTAAAGTATGCCAAATCCAAGTGGTACACAAAACTTATAAATAAACCTCAATGTGAGACATGTATATAAACGAGAGTTATTAGAGAATTTTATTGTAATTACTTTAATTTTATATCCACAGGGCGCCACAAAGTTGACCAAGGAAGATATTGAAAAAGTATTCTCGCTCTACGATCGTGTAAGTAAAACAAGGAATTAAGGATCTCCCTTAAAAAAAGGTTTAATATGAATATAAAAATAATTTTATATAATCGCAGGACAACAGCGGCACCATTGAAAACGAGGAGCTCAAGGGATTCCTCAAGGATCTTTTGGAGCTGGTCAAGAAGGTGGGTCTTCTAGGTCCTTAATTATGATGAAGGGAGTTTTAATCTTTGTTGTCTCCAGGACGACTACGATGCCCAGGACCTGGCTGCCTTCGAGGAGACCATCATGCGGGGAGTCGGCACCGACAAGCATGGAAAGATCTCCCGCAAGGAACTGACCATGATCCTGCTGACACTGGCCAAAATATCGCCCGACGACGAGGAGTAAGCGGGCTCGAGAACATACCAAAAGAGATTTTAGCCAACTCTATTTTTGTCACCCGAACGAGGGAAATCCACAAGTGAGGCCGGGAATGAGGGCTTCGAGGCAATGTTTACTTTAGAGCTGCATAAAAGGGGCAGCAAAGAAAAGATTTTGGTATCGGGGATGGGTCCTGGGCGAACAGAGATCCGAACCGAGACAAAGCTATTGGTAACATAAATCTAATATTAATGTTTCAATCTTAAATAAATGTTTATCGTACGTTAAGATGTTGAGAGTATATTTCCCCAAGTCAAACCAAAACGGAAATTTATCCAATCAAACAATTTGCAACACTGAATCGAGCCACTTAAAGTAAACAACTAAGAAATGATAACATCAAGATCAGTACATCGATTTTATATTATATTATATATGTATTTATATTTTCTATGTGTATTTGCATAAAGTATTTTATTTAATTACCAATTAAACTTGAAATAAAGTAGTTATATGTAAGGATGAAGATTTATTTGAGATTACATAAGTATAAACCTATGTGTGGCTACAATCTGTAGATAATTGTTGTTAATAATCGTGACAGTATCCTTTAACTCAGTATTCTTTGCCAGTAGTTCTCGGTGGGTGCAACCCACCATATGTACTCGAACTATCTATATCTCCCGCAAACATCAATCAATCAATCAAGAGCCACTTGCAACAGCCCGAGGGTGGACACACCCAGTGCAGGTGAATGCAAATGTGGCACTGTCGAGCTGAAGGGTGGAAATGGATCTAGTTAGCGTTAGACACTCGTCCTTGCATTTTCCACCCGAGGGTCTGCTCAAGAGGAGGCTGCGGGCCATCTGCCAGCATTTCCACTCAATTCCTCTGCTTAGGCAAATCGAAAACTAAACTTAAAGTTAACCTACAACGCTATGAACTAACGTTTTTTCAAGGTGCTATAGCTATAATTATGACTTGTTTCAGGCCTTATTCCTTTCCCAAGCTGTTTCCATTCTATTATTTCAAACTAACAATTAATAACTTAAGCTTTAAAACCAAGACAAATTGGTACAATCTTGAAACGGAGTTTACCCAAGGATTCATTTTTAAAATTTAAATATAAAGTAAAGGAAATTCGTCTTTGCAAGAAATCTGAAAGCCCGTTCTGTCAGCTTTGAAAATGAAACCCTGAGTAAAACCGATTGTACACACCCGTACATGCAACAAAATGCCAACTTAACAATTAAATAAACTAATAACGATACAACTCTTTATGATACTTATGCTAATCCTAAGATATTGTTCAAAACCACATGCATGTAAAGCTTTGAAACGGACTTTCTCTATATACAACAAGATACCAAATATCGAACTAAATGGATATATGTCTAAATACTATGAAAATTCGACAGAAATGTTTTAATAAAATAAATCAAATCTATGCAGACATCAAGGGGTCAGCACCCAAATCGCGGTCTTTTAACACTTTTAACAGGCGTTTGTATTGTCGGTTGCGTTTTTCCTGGAGCTCGAGGAGTTTGTTCAGTTGCTTGAGCAGATCAGTGGCATCCAACACCTTCTCGGATGACACAGAAACCAAAGGAGAACCATCCTCCGCTGGTGCGTTCTGCTCCAGTTCCGGGTTAACGAGATTGTTGGCAATATCCATGATTTTCTTGATTCGCAGACAGAAGCTAAGGTGAAGTGTTAAGGGAAAATCAGTGAAACAATCATACAGGACTACTTACCACTTGGCCTCCGCTCTTTTATTGCCTATAATCATCTGCCAGGCCATGCAGTTTTCCAAGTGCCAGGAGCAATAGCAACTCGCCAGAGTTTCCGTGAAGGGATCTTTCCATTCTCTGATGACCGCACACTGAGTTGGCGGAAACTGTATCTTCTCCACCAGCCAGGTGTGCCAAATAGGAGCCTCTCTGTCCTGGAAATTCACTTCACTTTGGGCAACCAAAGCATTCAATTGCAGGGACGCAAGACGCTGTTGAGTTGCTTTCAAAGTGCTGACTTGGGGGTTCCTGCCGAAATGTCGCTCCAGGAAGGCAGAGACCTTCTTGGGATAGTCATCTGTCTTGGGTTTTGTTATTGGGCCTAAATCCACCATACCATTTTGGAAGATCAACCAAGAGGGGTTTGCGTAGAAGGATCGGGTTGTGGCATCTGCATAAGTAATAAAGGTTTCGCTAAGGTATCGAATCGATTATTTCTTAAATATTAAAAGGGTAGATGTATATGGTAGTTCTGAGAGGCAAAGCAAAAGAAGGCATACTCTACAACGATCATACATATAGGTATAGATATAAACCCAAAGATTGACTTTAACAATTTTATTCTTATCAAGACGTTACTATAGATGGGGAGTACAGAAGAGAAGAAAAGCGGAGGGTCACATCAGAGCTTAAGGATTTCCCGTGATCGATCCTCCACGTTGTTCCACTTCCTTTTCTATTATTGCTATTGTTATTAACTCACCCGCTGCCGATGCTGACCACCAATTTGGTAATGGACCCACAGCGGGGCGTGGCAATTTGTGTTCGAGTCATACGGGCAATTTAACAGGGTATCTCGAAAAACATACGAAAAAATGAAGTAACTGTCTGGGACTACTAGGTCTGATAGGGTCCAGATCTCATGGCCTTCGCATCCAGTTTCTGCTGGTAGGCCAACCGCTGGAGAATCGTGGGGTGCGTGTGGTGCCAGCGGGCGTAGCAGTTGTCGTAGACCGGGAAGCTCATGTGATCGGCATAGATCTTGACGAGGGCCAATCTCAGTTGGATGGAGTATCCCATGCGATGGGCAAAGCTATCGGCGGCATACTCGAAGCGACGTAGATTCCACAGCATCAGGACATTTGCCAGCGTGAGATACGGAGTGAGGGCGAACCTGAGGACGATGATGAATCCCACGATGATGGGACAGAGGCCGGATTCGAATCCCACCGCCATGTACAGCTGCGGGCAGTGGAAGAGCAGGCCGAAGAGTCCCATGGTGAGGAAGAAGTGCAGCTTCATGATGATCGTGGCCTTGTAGAAGTGTCCGTGCTTCCAGTGGCCCAACTCGTGGCACACCACGCCCGCCACCTGGGTGTTGGTCAGTCCTCGCCCCACCTCGTAGGGGTGGAGGTCATTGGCGTCCATTCCCTTGTTCAGCAGCAAGGTGTCGAAGATCACAATCCGCTTGAGGCAGCAACTTCCGTAGAAGTAGGCATTGCTGTACTGCATCGTCCGGGTCTTGATGATGAACACGCGCTTCATGGGAAATCCCACCACGTCGCAGACCCGCTTCACCTCCGCGTGCAGCGCAGTGCCCTCCGGAAGGACAACCTGCCGCCCGATGCACGGGATGCAGCAGTAGGGCAGGAAGAAGACCAGCAGCAGGGTGAACACGGCCCAGAAGAGCCAGAACCACAGGAAGAAGTAGTACCCGAGGAGCGTCACGCTGAACACAATGGCCGCGGCCAGCGGGAGCAGGACGAGCTGGCTGAGGAGGATGGCCAGGGCGCCAATGCAGCAGTAGAGGTACCACGGGAACTTGCCCGACAGCCCGTAGCGCAGCTCCAGCAGACACTTGTCGTAGATCAGCACGGGCAGGAACCGCAGGCATATGTAGATGGTCAGGTAGAAGACGAAGATCAGGCTGATCCAGATCTCCGCGGAGGTAACCGGTTGCAGGGTCTTGGTGGCCAGGCCCCAGAGGAAGGGGTAGAAGCCCAGGGCCAGCTCACACAGCGAGAGAATCAGGTCGATCAGGTACTTCCAGATCTGCAGTTCCGTTTTGTGCAGCTCGTAGATGCGAGCCCGAAAGTAGACTTCCGGCGGAATGATCCCTCGCAGCTCGTCCGGCACCATAATCGAGTTCAGGCACACCAATTGCTGCGAACGGAGATCCGGATTAGTGATCGGTGAGCAGGGAACATCCAAACCCACTTACCTGTCTCTTGGTGAGAATCATCTCCCAGATCCTGTCAACTAACACGATCAGGCATAACACCACCAGTATTATAACAGGATCCCACTTTGGCCAAGTATCGTAGAATGCCATCAAAACTTATCATGTTCCCCCAACAAGCAACAACAGTTGTTAAATATATATCTATAATAGCCAGGCAGGATAACTCAATCAGAACCTACTGTGTTTGAGCAAATATAACCGAAATAAATATAACGCCTAACGTCGCAGCTCATCCAGATGATCCAAACGATCCAGCATGGTGGGGTGCGTGTGGTTCCAGCTGGAGTAGCACGAATCCGAGACGGGGAAGGCCAGGTTATCCGCATACAGCTTGAGCAGCGCCTGGCCGAGATCTCTGGAGTATCCGAGGCGGTAGGCGAACCTGTCTGCCTGGTACTCGAAGCAGCGCGTGATGGACAGCATGCAGAAGTTGGCCAGCGTCATGTAAGGAGTCATCACGAAGCCGAAGATGATGAAGCACCCAACGACGATGGGCTGCAGGCCGGGAGCAAATCCCACCGCCTGGTAGATGGGTCCATGGGTGAACAAGGCCGCAAACAATAGGATGGTCAGTATAAGATGAACTTGGAACGCCAGGATCGCTTTATAGAAATGCCCATTCCTCCAGTGGCCCAGTTCGTGGGCCACTACAGCAGTCACCTGAGCATCCGTCAGTCCCTTGCCCATCTCCTCCGGCGACACCTGGGCGAGATCTTGCTTGCCCCTATTCAGCAGCAGGGTGTCGAATATCACAATCCTCTTCAGGCAGCAGCAGCCGTAGAAAAAGGCATTGCTCCCCGTATTCGGGTCGTGCACTCGGATGATGTACACCTGCCGCATGGGGAAGCCCACCGTCCGCGTGAGCTGCTCCAGTTGGGTGCGCAGGCTCGAGTTCTCCAGCGGCACACGCTTGCCCACGAAGGGATCGATCAGAAATGGAATCAGCAGGACGATGGTGAAGGTCAGGATCACCGTTTGCCCGTACAGACCCAGCGGAGCGTATGCTCCCATGGCCAAAAACATGTACACCAAGGCGAGCACCACCACGATGGTAACCGCAGTTCCCAAAATCAGGTCAACGGCAAAGTGGCAGACGCGAGCAAGCCATGATTGTTTTGCCTTGGGCTGCAAACTTGTGATACACAACTTTTCGTAGATCATGGCCGGAACGGTCTTTAGCCAAAAGTACACGCTCAACAGGAGCACGAAGATCACGGAGACACAAGCCTCGTGCTCCATCCACTTGGCCATGGCGCACTGGCCGGCCACTCCATACAGCCAGGCGTAGAAGCCGAAGTATAGCTCCAGGACACCCATTATGACCACCGTAAGCAGGGTGTTGACAATAGTGAACCAGCCCTTGTGGATCTTGTAGACCCGCATCTTGTCGTAGAGGTCCTGCGGCAAATAGGGACTGATCACAGTCGGAACCGTGTGCACGTTGTAGGCCACGTGTATCTGGAAAAGAATTGATTATAAAAAAGGAATAATTTCAAGTTCTCTGCATCACTTACGTCCCGCAGCAGCAAATAAATGGCCCATAAATTGTCCAGCACTAAAAAGGCGATGATAAGGTAGAGTATTGTTATTGGATCATCCCAGAAGTACGAAGACATTTTGGGGTTCTCTGACAATAACTAGACATTTTGGGCATATTTTTTGAAATTTTGAAGCTCCGTTAGAAAATCATTTTCGGCAGGGTTCTGATTGATGGATTTTAAACTACCAGTTTACATGTTTTGTATTATTATAATCCTAGACTGATAAAGGAAACGTTCCCTTACTGCAAATTCTGTTATTTTTTCTTTGGGGTTAGCCCCTTACTTTATTTTGTGTACGTTAAAACAAAGGGAACAGTATAAACTTTGGTCTTGTGTGATGTGAGCGGTCTTAGTTCAGCTTCTTGTCTTCCTTGAGCTCCTTGAGACGGTTCAGCCTCTGGAGCAGGGTGGGATGCGAGTGGTTCCAGGTGGAGTACAACCAATCGTAAACTGGAAAGCCGAGGTTGTCCACATTCAGTTTGATGAGCGCCTGACCCAACTGCTCAGCGAATCCCAGCTTGAAAGCGAACTCATCAGCCTGGTACTCGAATCGTCGCGACAGAATCGTCATCGCGAAATTCATGAGGGCGTTGTACGGAGCCAGTACGTAGGTGAAAACAATCAGCAAGCCCACAAGAATGGGCCGAGTGCCGGGCTGGAATCCCATGGCCACGTAGAATGGTGGGTACTTGAAGACATTGCCAAAGACGAGGAACATCAAGAAGAGATGGACCTGCATGATAATGATGTTCTTGGTGACGTGGCCCAATTTCCAGTGACCTAGCTCGTGGCCCAAAACGGCCAGCACCTCTTCGTCGGTGCATCCTTTTCCTTTTTCGTCCTCGGAGAGGTCGGAGTCGTTTGATTTACCCTTGTTAAGCAGCAACGTGTCGAAGAGTACAATTCTCTTCGAGTTCCAGAGACCATAGAAGTAGGCGTTGCTGTGTGAGGATCGCTTAGAACCCTCCACTACAAACAGCTTGGTAAGCGGGAACTTGAGCGAGGCGGCCAGATCCTCGATGGACTGCCTTAAAGCGCCCTTCTCCAGCGGAGTGTACTTGTCGAACAGGGGGGCAATGAAAATCGGATACAATGTGAGTAGGACCAGCGAGATAACGCCTGTGAAGATCCATAGCCAGATGAAGAAGTTGTCGCCGCCGCGCTGGACAATGAAGATAATGGCCGCCGTGATGGGAATCATGAGGACCTGGGTGACCAGGAAGCCCTTGAGCTGATCCCAGGCGAAAAACCGTGCCGTCTGCTTGTTGAAGCCGTGCGTCTCCTCCAGCACGAATATCTTATAGATCTTGAAGGGCAGTCCCTTGAACGTGCTTAGCACATTAGAGATCAGAACGAAGACGCAGCTGACGATGATCTCGTTCTTCGAGTCCCACTGAAGGCGCTCCACCACTTGCTCAGACAACTGCCATAGCACTGCGATTAGTCCGACATACAGCTCCAGGCAGAGCAATCCCACGTCCATGACCACCGCCTTAAAGATGCCGAAGTTTTCCTGGTCCAGACCGTATTTCCTCGCCTTGTGAAACGTTTCCTCGCCCATGTGTGATGTCAGCTCGGCGGGCACTTTTAGTGCAGTTCGATACACTTTCACCTGGCGGCGGAGAGAGGGAGGTTATTTAGTAGGCATCGCAGATTGCCAATTAACATTTGCGACTCTAAATTTATCATTCGCATTGATAAAATTCCTCGCCAAATGTCGCTGTCTCGCTCGCACCAGCCGGCATACGGAAAAACTCACCTGCCGCAGCGATATGTAGATCTCCAGGGCATTTTCGATGATAACCAGAAACAGAATGCTAAGCAGCACGGTTTCTGCGTCCAATGAAGACATTTTTAAATGCTATTTCATTAAAAACTAATAAAACTGGAATTTTACAAGCGCCAGTGACGAATTGTCGGTGTGGTGTGGTGTGACCGTCGCTCAGCCGTTTAAATATGTCAAAACGAAATCGATTTTGTTATCGATTCTTTGATGGAAATGACTGTGCCGGCTACGAAAGAATCAGAATCAAATAAGAATGTTATTTTTAAAGCGATTTTACAGCAAAACAGGACGACTAGCCCATATTTCCAAATCCCACAAGCCAGGCGACTCTTTGAGCATCCAGGTAAACATAATTTATCGTTGACAAATCCCTTATTAAAATTATTATTAATATTTAATAAAAGGGCTGGATTAAAAATGTTCGCAGGCTGAAAAATAACACATTTCTGGACGTGAATGATGGATCTACGAGCAGTAAGTTCCAGGTGGTGGTTCCCCGGACTCCGGAAAACCAGCATTTATCTCCAGGCAGCGTTATCTCGGCGGTGGGTCAAATCCAGGTGGCTCCAAATGGCAGTTTTGAGTTGCATGCAAGTTCCGTGAAAATGTTGGGTAACTTTTTCACAATCTAAAGATAACGGTGTCCTTTAAAGCTCCTCTATCCTCCAGCGGAAGGTCACCTGCAGGAGGGCTATCCCTTCAGCCCCAAACAGAAACATTCACCCGAATATGTGCGTGAGCATCTGCATCTGCGTTCCCGCGTTGACTTCATAGCCGCCCAGATGAGGGTCAGACACAAGGCCCAAAAGGCCATTCATGACTACATGGATGAGCTGGACTTCGTGCAGATCAACACTCCCCTGATAACCACCAATGATTGCGAGGGAGCAGGAGAAGTCTTTCGGGTTCAACCGGACTCTGCATCTCTGCTAAAACAGATGGCCAGGCCGAGTGTTCCCGAGGAGCAGAGCTACTTCGACGGCAAGGTCTTTCTCAGCGTCTCCGGGCAGCTGCACCTGGAGGCCATGACTTATGGTCTGGGCAACACGTATACCCTCTCTCCAGCCTTTCGCGCGGAAAACTCCAAGTCGCCATTGCATTTAGCCGAGTTCTACATGTTTGAAGCGGAATTGGCCCATTTGGAGGAGCTGGAGAAGTTGGCGTCGTTTATCGAGCAGATGCTTAAGTCCATTACAAATCGCTTGTTGGAAACAAGTTCCGAGGATCTTCATTTCTGCCAGGAGAACTCGAATTCCAGATCAGATCTGCCCTGGTTGCAAGTTCCCTGGAAGATAATGACCTACGATGAAGCCGTGCAAGTGCTGCAGGAAAATAAGGATAGCTTGAAAACTCCCATAAGTCTGAATGAGGGTTTCTCCAAGGACCAGGAATTCTTTCTAGTCGCCCACTGTGCTGCTCCTGTCTTCGTGGTGGATTGGCCCGCTCAGCAAAAACCTTTCTACATGAAAGTCTCGCGCACGAACCCCAATCGTGTCTATGCATTGGACCTACTAATGCCAGCTGTTGGAGAATTATGTGGCGGTAGCCTGCGCGAAAGTGATCCAGTCATATTAAACTCCCATCCGCAGCTGCCTAAGGATCTATCCTGGTATGTTGAATTGCGAAAGTACGGGGGGATTGCCACTGGAGGATTTGGCATGGGTTTTGAGCGATATTTGCAGCTGGTCACGGGTGTCAAGAACATCCGAGATGTGATACCTTTCCCCAGGTATCCACATAGCTGCAAGATGTGATTGGTTAAACGTGTAAAATATTAAGAATTTTTATTGTTGAAAGTGTAATAAATGTATATTACTTTAGAGTCTGATTTAAATCATTAACTTTAGGAAATCTTTAAGTGGGATCTATATAAAATTTGTTACTTTTCTACGAACATAATAAATGGTGGTCCTTAATCTCACCAAATGGCTAAAATGAGTTTACAGCTGCCCCAACATGGGTTTTCGGCCTGGCCAGGCTTCCTTGGCGTATTTCTTCTTCTGCGGACATAGAGCGTCGGCCTCGCCACTGGAGTCATGCGGATCCTCCCCATAGCGACGCACTGATATGAAAAAATGATTATTGAGAGGAGAACGAATAAAGAATTGGGCGCAAGAACCATTACCATTTGCATTAGCGACGGCCAACTTTTGGGCCAAAGTTGAGGTCGGCTCCACCGCCTCATCAAAGACAGGCATCACCTCGGGCGCGGGATTCGGCAGCAGCAGTCCTAACTTGGAACCTATGCTTAGCGGCGAGATCGGCTCCAAATCGCCCTTTCCGTGCGTCTCGGCCGGCAGTCCTTGATACAGAGAGTTAGTGGGCGAGTGGGGGACCGGATTGGGAGCAGGCATTTCCCTGTGCTGCTGCTGGTGGTGCTTCATGTCCGCCAGAGTCTGCTGGAACATCTGGTGCACGTGAGCGGCATTGGCGCTCGACAAGCTGCTGCCCGAATGGATGCCCATATGGTTGACATCGTAGCGGGCCCGTTTGGCAGGCACCACGGTGGTTTGCACAAGGTTCCTGAAGCGCCCCACATTAGGGTCCACATCTTCAGGATTGATGACAATCTCCTCATCGTTAAATGTGACATTGCGGATGCGACGACCCTGCTTTAAGGCATTTTGCTTCCGCATATTGGTGTCATCATCGATGCCCAGCATTGAGATGCGCCGGTTGTGGGCCGTATTGTACTCCGTGAGATTCTAGAGGGAAATGGGGCATTAGTTGCTGTAGGATTTCTTTCATAGACTAAACCTACATCAAGTTCGGTTTGGCTCTCGGGCAGACCCAGCAGAGTTCCGTCGCTGGTTTCGCTGAGAGGCAGGTCCTCCATGATATTGTTGTGGTGGCCAGAGGGACGTTCCCTGAGTATGTAGTTTCTGGTGGATGCTCCAAAGTGAAACGTGCTGTTGATCTGCAGCTGTGTGGGCTTGTGAGCCTCTAATCTCAGAGTGCCAATGAAAGTGCCATGTGCTGGAGAGCATACTTTAACAGTTAGTCTATACAGATCCCCGATATGGTCACTTACTGGAACCCAGATCGACGAGGTAGGCTATGTTGAGGTGCTTGTGGTACACGAATGCCGAGTGGACCCGCGAGCAGGAGGCATGGTCTATGCAGAAGTCGTTCATCTGGCTGTTTCGCCCGAATAAATAGCATCTCTTCTCATCGACCATCAGTTTCTGTACCAGCTTGTCGTCCTTCAGCACATCCAGATGCAAGCCAGTGGGCGGTTTGCCGGCCCAACTGGGGATGTCGTAGCTGTTGGCCATGCGTTTACCTTTAGTTATGCCCCGTTGAAAGCCGGTTAAAAACCAATTTGTTTATTTTTATGCAAAATCCTTGGCAAACGACCAGTGTGTACACAAAATCAGTATTGACAATGCGATAGTTTCGGCTTCGAGTGTGGCTGACCAATAACAAATGGGGTATTCCTTTAATACAATAATAATATTATTTTCATATAAGTTTAATTTTTTATATCTTATAATATATATAATACCAATAATTCCCAGATTAGGAATACAAGTTATTAAGCTTTTAGGAATTCAGATTTTTCAGATAACAGAAATAAAGCCTATTATATGTTTAGTATTAAGGTACTTTTCGCAGATGTAAACCAATGTAACTTATAGTTTCTAAAGATTAGATAAGTTTTTTTAATATTAAGCATTCAAGCAAATTATAACTAGTTTAAGACATAGAATAAAAAAGGTTCAATAGGTGAAGAACCATCATGTACAGTTGTAGTTTCTAAGGATTAAACAAAAACACAAATAAATTATAATTTTTTGTATTTTATGCAAATTTTACCGTTAACAATATTATAACAAGTTTATGAAATTGAACAAATAATAACGGCTACATAGTTGAAGAACCATCGCTGTTATTTATTATATAGTTTATTTATAGTTATCGATTCAATAGATTGTACGACCTGGGTGGTATATTTAAATGGTCACGCTACGGTCACACTGTGCGAACGCAACGGAAAAGGCACAAAATCACAAATAACGACAGCTGATACTTCTAAAAATAATATAAGGAATTAAGCAGTAGTTAATCTAATTAACGGGGCTTAATTATTTTGTGCTGAAAAAAAGTGTTACATAAATGAATGTGGCGTGCGGAAGTCACTATTTTGACTCTGTTATTGATGCTTTCCAATCCGTAAACCTGTTTTGGATGCCGTGAACTCATCTATTTATATTAACCTTGTGACGTCCATAGCCAAAAGTATTAATCATAGATAATTACCGGACGGAAAAATGGTTACAACAACGGCGATTGCGGATCTGTGCATCTTCCTGGTGACCTGGAACGTGGGCACCCACTCACCGAGGAACCAGGAGCTGGGTTCCCTTTTGTCCCTCAATGGGACCACCAACTGTCCGGATAACCAGCTCCCCGATATCTATGTGATCGGCTTCCAGGAGGTGAGCACGACGAACCTGAAGATTTTCCAGGACGATCCGTGGGTGCTCAAGATCGCCAGCACCCTGCAGGATCATCAATTTGTCAAGATAGACTCGAAGCAGCTGCAGGGCATCCTCATAACGATGTTCGCGCAGCACAAGCACATTCCTCACATGCAGAGTATCGAGTCGGCAGCCACGCGCACGGGATTGGGCGGTCTGTGGGGCAACAAGGGAGCCGTGAGCATCCGGCTCTCCCTCTACGGAACTGGCGTCGTCTTCGTCTGCTCCCATCTGGCGGCACACGACGAGAAGCTGAAGGAACGCATCGAGGACTACAACCAGATAGTGGACAATCACAAGTACAGTACTCAGAGATACCACAGCATCTTCGACCACGATGTCGTCTTCTGGTTCGGTGATCTCAACTTCCGCCTGTCCGGGGATATGACCGCCTGGGATGTGCGCACGGATGTGGAGAACATGCGTTATGCGGAGCTGCTCGAGCTGGACCAGTTGAACATGTTAAGGGCGAAGGGCAACGCTTTCAGCCTGCTGGAGGAGCAGCAGCCCACTTTTGCGCCCACTTTCAAGGTGTTTATCAAATCTTTATCGTTATGTTTATCCACTTGAACTTGCTTATCTTTAATTAAATTAAATACTTATAGGGTATAAGTCTCAATTTAAATCGGTGTTATCTTCCTAATACTCATTTTTAATTTCCGCTCCCGGCAACGGATGTATATTCATCTTTGACCCCCTTTTTAGATTTGACAATTACTATCCCTAAGCTTTGGATCCATACTGCTTATTATCATTCAGGTCTTAACTCATTTTAAAAGTTAAAAAAGACAAAGACAAAAATCTACTAAGTTTATTTGAGTGGAAAGACCTCAATTAAGAAAGCGATATAATTTTCCTTATCTCAAGAACTGATGAAATGTCTAATTCGTTCTCCTTGCAGTTTAACGAGGGCACCAATGAGTACAACTTGAAGCGACGACCGGCCTGGTGTGATAGGATCCTGCATCGCGTGCAGAACAACGATTACAAGGGAATTACCCTGAGTGCCAAACAGTTGTCTTATCAGTCCCACATGGAATATATGCTCTCTGACCACAAACCCGTATCGGCCACGTTCAACTATTTGGTGGATGTCGTTAACCAGACGATTACCGATGAGGAACTCCACGAAATGACGCACGGAGCTGCTTCTACTCCAACCACTTCAAATGTTAGTTTCACCTTCGCTTTTGTTGTGATTGTAGCTGTGTCGTTTACTCAACTTTAATTTCGCTTCTTTTGTAGTTATTTAATGCTGAGCTAGAGCAATGGTAGCGCCGCCATGACGTCATTTAATTGTAAATCTTTTAAACTTTTTGCATGCGTAAAGATAAGATCTTGGGTCACATAATAATAATAATAATAAATCTACAGATTTATTAAAAGACTTCCCGCGAAACGAAAATAATATCATGTACATTGTGATGGAATCTCTGCTAATTAAGCAATAATCAAGCAATTCTCAAGTGATTTAAACATATACATACTTAGCTTTCAAGTATCTAAACATATACGTAGGTTCAGTCAATTAAGATGAGATTCTGTTAAAGTTGATTTTTATTGTATTAAAGAAATGTATTTTTGTACAAAAACCTGTTGATCGAATAAAGAAATCTGTTACCACTCAATATGAATCATCTGTTGTTTACAATCACCGATCTGTTCCCAGAACCTCATAGGTATAAACAAAAGATAAGAAATCTTAGAATTGTTTTTGGGTTTTTTCGATGCTGATGACTTGTCAGCATTGTCTGTTTTTTATTAGCTAGGTTCTTGGGTTGAACAGTTCTTTACACATTCGCCTGGGCAAAGTAAATTAAAATTGGTATCATATAAGTATATAAGCCACCTTTAAATAATGATTAAAGCGCTTTGCTTAACTTAGAGCAAAAGTACGGGTCTAAATTAAGTATGGTAAGATAGGTTCTCGCATAAAGGGATTTCATAAATATATATGTGTACATGTGTATTTTTGGATGAAGCGTTTTCAGTTTATATTGGATAAATGCTAATGTATGAACTAACGTAAAATTGCCTCCTCAATTCCATAACTCACATCTTCTTTGCGTTCAGGACTTACTTTAGGTGTGGCTCAGATGACACAACAACAAAATATGGAACGAATTTAACACAATGAATTTAAAGGAGTTAAAATATCAGATTATCATAAATAGGTGTATAAATTGTCCCTTTCGAAGTGTCTGTTCTCGATTTGTGTTGCTTAGTTTACTAACGGACGTTTTGTTCTTTTTCATTGAATTTCCTTGCTTAAATACAAAAGCAATTTGTTTTGTTTCACAGTATACCTTTTTTATAACCATGCCAAATGGTCCAAGTATTTGTTGTCGTTGGATATAACGATTGCATAAGAAGCGACACCGAACCACAAAAACCACGCGACCTTAGTGCGTGTCACTGAACATAGTTGTTATCTAGCTAGTTACATAGATAAGATTGAGTTTGTGTAAGTATAATCTCCAGTCAGGTTTGGTTAATTTCGTTTTCTATTGAAGAACACATTTGTCTTTTTCACCGCTTATGTCCACATGCTCCAGTGTTCTCGCAATCTCCTGATCGTCTTCGATCCTAAAATAAAGTATGGGTTAATTTCTGATGGTAACAAAGGGGGCAAATTGAGGAGCTTACGCTTGCTCCTGGTTGTGCAGATGCTGAACCAACTGGTCTCGCTTGTCGACAATCGTCATCAGCTCCTCAAGCAGCAGCCGCTCCTTTTCCCGTTGCACCTCTGTCTTGCGCCAATCCTCCACTGATTGCGCTGCCCGCAGCTCCTGATTCAGCATCGTATACTTTCGCTCCAAATCTTTCTCTTGCTCGCTGAGGGGTAGAAATAATCACATGATAAAACGCAAAACTGATAGTAAAGCCGAAAGAAAACTCACAGTATGTTCAACTGCATTTGTCGCCGAAGAAGAGCGTTCTTCTTGTTGACCAGCGTAAACCATTGCGATAGCAGTTGCTCCTCCGTTTCCTCGGTCTCTGTGGAATGAATTAATCACTTGTTATTGAAATGCATTGACGGGGTTTTTTTTTGTGAAATTCTAAGATTAATTACAGCTGGCCTGTTCTGATTATTTTGCCATAATTACTTTTGTCATTATATATATTGTTATCTTTAGTATTTTAAACAAGCACATATCATAATCATACATAATTTAAATATAATTTCATTAAATTGGCAACCAGAACAGGCCCCAAATATTTTATTGTGATCTAAACAGGCGTCCTTTGGCGGTTTCAAAAGCTGCGGCAGAGTGTGGACTCTGTGATTAGTGAGCGTTTTGTCGGAGACAGTTAGAGCCCAGTCCGAACGTGGTTAGACACAATTTGGAACGGCTGCCCGGCCAAGTTAACAAGCAAACACAGACACAAACTAGAACAAACAAACGGCACAAAGGATGAGCGAGTAGATGCGGTTGAGAGGCGAGCGGGCGGGCAGGCAGGCGGTTGATCTGGGCGATCGGGCGGGCAGTCAGGCGGTGAGGCGTGGCAGTGCATTGGCAGAAGCGGTTTGCAGATTGCAGATTGCAGTTGGCAGCGCAGCTCAATGGTTCAGGCATGAAATGATGGGCCGCACTTTACCACAATGACTGGGACTGTGACACAAATGGGAGCGCCGCTCCCGCTGCTGACGGCGTCGCCTGTGGCGATCATGTTGCCGCCGCAAGGAGGCCGCACGACCGGTGGCCGCCAGTGCAAGGACCTCGTCATCGTCGCTGCACGCGGGCAGGTTATCACAGGAGGACTGCTGCGAGGAGAGCGCCGACGGGGAGCTGTCTAGCATGTGGGTGTAGGGCACAACATGATGCACATGATGCGGGCGCAAATGAGCGGGCGTGGTCATGGTCGATGGATGGGCCTTGTTCACATTCACAAAACACGACTGGGAGCGGGGTCGGGGGCGCAGCCGCGAGTGCAACTCGTCGCCAGAGTTGCATGGGCTGTCGCTGGACGTGTCCCGGTCCTCGTCTTCGCTGCACGCCCCGCTACCACCGCCTCCACTACCAGCACCTCCACCAAAGAGACTCTCGTCGTCTGAGTCAAGCAGCTTAATTCGTATCACATCACCACCACCAATACTATTTCGGATTAGCCTAAGGAAGGGGTTGCCATTTTTAGCACCACCCCGGCGATTATTACTTGGATTGCCGCCCATCACGGCGCGCAGCTTGGCCTCCAGACTGCTGGCCTTCTGGTCAATGGCCTCCTGTTCCCGCTCAAGTGCCTCCAGCTCGGACTCGATGTAGGACAGCTTGTCGCCCTGGAAACGTTGTGAAAGGGGCTGAAATTAGTTATGTGATTGCCGCGGTAGCCACTATGCAGCAACCATGGCTACGAGGCTTCCCTTAACTCACCCTCTTCTCCTGCTTTGGTGAGATGCGGTCCACAATCGCGCTGAACGACTGCAGAGAGCTTCCATTCACTCCCAGGCCCTTCGGATCACTTAACCTATGACTAGGACTGCCCGGCTCCTTGGCATGCTCCGCGTAGAATTCCTCCGCTCCGTTGTGGATCGGCGAGATGGTGCGCTCCAGCTTGGGTCTGGTGGGGCTGGTGGGACTCTCGATGGAGCCGCCGCTCTTTACCCGGTTCTCCAGGATGAGGCGGCGGGCCTGTTCCCGCAGCCGCTGCTTTCGCTCCTCCTGCCAGGGGGAAGACATCGAAACCACTGAGTGAAGATCTGCTCTAGTTGGGCCCTTTTTATATATCATATTTATAAACCCATATAGACTAAATCGAGTGTTTTCTTAGAAACAGTAATTAAATCTGGATTTGGATTTGTGTACACCATATGGCTACAGATAAACAATAATGCTAGCAACCTTCAGCGGTTTAAAACAAATAACGAACGGGTATGAATCAACTTTTGCAATACTTAATTTCAGAAGATTTAGCTTTCTACTTTCTACTTACATAAAAAATTAAAAAAAAAGTTTTATTAATTTGGTTTATAAATTTCGGATTCAAAAACATGATTTTTTCTATCTCAATCCTTAACTTGTTCATATTTCCTATGAATTTTAGTACAATAAATATTACATCGTCAAGCAAAAAACCCCCTTTATATTGTAAACAATATTTTATAAAAACAATATTTAAATAAATCAACAAGACATGCAAAAGATAAGCTGCGCTGCAAGCAGCGGACATCGTCTCCGACAAAAAGCTACTTACGTCATTCGCGTCGCTGGTATTGTGAAGCTTTAGCTTTTCTATCATCAGCTTGGCTTTTTCGCTCATCAGCTTGTGGCGCGTTAAAATTCGCTACAAAACAAATCAAAAGTAAAGCAAAAACAAGGAAAGCAAGTATATAAAAAAATGAAAGCAAATAAATAGGTCCCCAAAGCCAAGACAACAACTCAATAGATAACTTCAACTCAACGAGGCAACACGATCCTGGCTTTTACTCACACTGGTCACCGGATTAGTTATGACTGTTAAGGAGTTGTTTTCCTTCCCACCCGCCTGAGGACCTTCGTCCAAGGATTCCTCCTGCGGCGGCGGCGTCTGGCCACCGAGCACCGACGACTGGTTGGCGTGCTGCGATGCGTTGATCGCGTTCTTGTCCTTGGTGGGCGACAGCACCTTGTCCAGTATGTTCTTCGGGTTGTACAGAATCAGGTTCTTCACATCCTTTTTACTTGCGGGCGACAGTTGCTCCGATTTGTTCTGTCCATATATCTCTTCATCGAAGGAGCTCTGATGCAGCAACTGCGTCTTCGAGTGCGGAAAGTTGATCCGATTCTGTGATAAGTTGTCCGACATATAGTTTCCAATCACATAACTTGACTCATCTGCCGTGGAGCCTGAGAAAGGTGAAAGCATTAAAACATTGAAAAGTTACACTTATCTGTGGTTTGCTTACCAATTTGCTCGATCTTCAACTGTTTGCCCGTAAAGTGAGCTCTCAACTGGTGCAAATAAGTCATCACCGCCAACTTGTCTGGTACTGTCAGCAGATTCATGTCCCGCGGCTCGATTACCCGTGGTATTCCTAACGATTCTGCAGCATCAAAAGCAATTCGACAGTTGCCAACCACTTCATGGGCACTCAATTTTGACATGTCACTAAGAAAAGGGGAAATCCAATTAGTTCAAAGTCGCTTGTCGAATCTGGTAGGAAATTAGCTAACTAGCAAGAAGACTATAAAAGTAATTTAAGTTTGATAAGGAAAAAGGTAACGTCACCAATTAATTATAAATAATTTGGTTTCATTTGTAACCTCTTTACGATAAGATATACAAATAAATCATCATAACTCACATGAGCTCCGGCACAAAGTGATGAATAATAGCACAGAAGGCCATGCCGTTGCGCCAGCTGGTCGTCAGGTTGGTGACCTTAACATTGGGGTAGTCTTTGGTAACTTCTTTGCACCACTCCAGCAGATCCTGGCCGGGCGTGTTCTCCTTCAGCACGATCTTCTCCACGGGCTTGAGGCTGTTGTTCATCGATCCAGAGGTACTAAATCCCGACTGTGATCCCATCGATTCGTTTATCACAGATGCGGGTGCCGGTGCAGGTGCAGGTGTGGGCGAGGGCTCGTAGCTCTTCTTTAAGTTCAGGGGCTGCAACTCGGGACGCTTGGTATTCGGAGCCACCACAGATGAGGGC